TGTCTTCTCTATGAGATGAGTTTAACTGGGCTTAGATCCAGCTCCTATATTGCAAGCTTAAGCGGCAGCATGTTAAATGGCACGCTCAGCAGAGATACCCAGAAGTTCATGGGCTGCCAAGTCTAACCTATTTCTTCTGATATCCCAGATTAGGACTGAAGCAGGACTGTGACTCCTCAGGCTTCCAGCTCCCACAGTCCAAGAAGCCAGAGCCAAAAAACATAGTATCTCTCTGGATAGTATCTCATTGTTCTCTCTGGATTTAAAAAATTTTGGAGATCTTAGTGGAGAAAGGTGCCAAAAATCTCACCTCTGCAGCAAGGGGCTCAAAAGCTTAAGTTTGGGTTTCCTGCTGCATCCACAACCCCCAGGGCTTCCCTACTCTTGCATCAGCTGGCTTTTTGGGAAGCCCAAACTACTCCAAAATTATCCCAATGCCTGTCACTTTCCCAGCTGCCCACCGTTAAATAACTGCAGTCAGTTTGACCAGAAACTCCACATTTCCAGCGCATTATGTTGCATCACCACACACTCCTTCCTTTCCTCCCGGTACTAACCCATCATAAAGTAATTATCAGGCACACTGCAATGTCACTGCAAAATAAATAAATACTGCTTATGCATGCTGCATGCCTTGGCTGGCTGGCCCAGGCTGCCAGCGAGGGCTGAGCCTGAAAAATAGCTCCCACCTGTACCCACCCTGGCAGCAGCCTTGATTAGCAAGAAGCCTAAATCTGATATAGTGGGACATGCTGCCAGTAAAAATGAAGTATGTTGGCATGGGTGAGTGTGCAGGGACCCTGAAGCAAATCAGCAGCAAGCACTGCCAGTCACACCGGAGGGGCTACGGTGGCTAGTTTCCCATCCTTTGCCTGATCCCATCAATGTCTCTTGCAACTATCATGCAAACTTTTTTAAAAAAATACATGATAGTAAAAAATCCAGTCAATATATCCTTTTAATTTGCACCAGATTATAGTTTTTTTAATGCAATTACTGTAATTTCATTAAATGACATAATTACCATTAATGCAGAGAAAACTGTCAATAGAAGGTGTAATTACGTGGTATAAAATCACAAGCACAATGTGCAATGATGCATAATTCCTCATGAAAATCATTCTGTGACTAAAATTAACCTTTAAAATATTTTTAAAATACACATTGTACAGTAAGAATGATTCAGTTATGGACTTAACTTCCACAACCAAGGAAGAAGGGGGAGCGGAGCAGGCAGGGAGTTCTTGCACGCAGCAGGAAGGACCAGAAATTTGGTTTAGAAGTGCATCAGAAAGGTAAGACTGCAAGTTTTCGGATGCACGAGTGGGAAAAACAGCCTATAATCACGCAGATCTACAAGATGGATTGTGAGCAGACAATCCCCTGGGCACATTTCACCACCCAGCTCCAGCTTTTTGGACACAAGTAATACAGCATGGAACCGATGTCTCGGTGTGAGAAGAGGAAGGAGTGATGAAGACCAGGTTAAAACATAATATTCATCCTGGAAACGGAGAGCAAATTGTTCAGGGTAGGATATTAAGAGTGTCAGGCACATAAGAACCACCACACAAGGATGTATTAGAGTACGTCTCTGGATGTCTTCAAAATAAAGCCCTTTTTGAGAGGCATGTTTCAGTCAAAACACAACATATTGGGTTGAACACAGAGATAACTACATCAAAATTAGATAGAGTAGAACATCTGAAGAGTTTTTTTGGTCTTAAAAATCTACAAATTCCCTCAAATCCTGAACTGATGGAGAACACCACATGGATGAAGTCTTTTAAGATCTCTCCCGGTATATGAAGACTATTAACTCTACAGGCAACATTTTCCACATGTGGAAATATTCCCGGTATTCCCAAGCACATGCAAATATGTGTGCCCATTTTTCACACCAGACCAACGATGAAACGTACACTATGAAGAACCCAGAAAGCCTGTGTGGGACCACTTCCTCTGAGCCAGGATGTTTTTTCTAGAATACATGTAACGCAATTTCCACCAAACCCTTTGTACACATGGCAAATATCACCAAAAATGAAATTCTGCTTTTCACCTCACCTCCCTTTCAATCCTTTTTCCAAAGCCTCTAAACCTGAAAAATTTCTGATTTTATTTGTGCCCAAGCAGGCCAGATCAGTGTCCTCTGTGCCTATACAATTAAGTCAGGTAAAAAGTCATCGGATTAAAATCACAGAATGCCGATGAAAAATATGATTTCACTTTTATAGTGAAAAAAAATTAATCTACTCACATGTTTTTGGGCCATCTCCTCTCACCATTACAGACTAATAAATAAATTTAACTTGGAATGATATCTCTTATAAACGAGAAAACACGGTGATAGCATTTTTCTCATTCACTTGTGTCCTGCCTGTACTGTTCTCCATTTCCTCCCTCTTTATCCATCCCTCTTTTTCTCTCCAGCACCCAGAATTAGCAGCTAATGTCCTTGTCTCACACAGGAGCTGTCAGCACTAATGGGGAGGGAGGTGCACTGTAATGAAGACTAAAACAGGAAGGTGGAAGGTACCGTGTCCTCGCCTATTGCCATGCTCTGATGGTCTCACAAATATTTTCCTCTGTCTGGCAGTGGCTGTTGTCTGATCACTTACGAAAACAAGGTTCACATCACTATACTTTCTACTTGTCTTCATCCTCCCTCCCTCCCTTTATTCCTCCTTGGAGGAAGGGACATGGGCTACCTGTAGAGGGAAACCAAGGGCAATACGAGAAGGGAGGGAGGTCTAAAGGACCACACGATCTCTGGGATTATCACTGTGAAGATATGTGGAATATGTAGAATATGGTCATAACAGTTATTGCCAGTGGCCCAAGGGACATTTATAAGGGAAAAAAAAAAAAAAAAAGAAGGGATTTTATGGTTTGAGGGCCTGGCTGGCACTTAAGCTACCAGCCATGGTTTCACAAACCCACCTGAAAAATGGGTGAGAAGCTTTGTGCGTCTTCCTCATCTCTGGTGTTCCGTACCAGCCACAAGCAGGTCATCAATAAGGGCAAATTTGGTACAGGCTAAATTGATACAAAGCCAGGTATTGGAGGTACATAAATGTTACTTGCTGGGGAATGATAATTTTTAAACATGTGATATTTGGTACAGCTTTTATTTAACCCATTAAGGGTGGATTTTACATACAGATGGGCGCAGGTAGGGATGCCGCACCTACCACGTTGGGTGCATATTTTCAATACTATGAACAAACACGCTAGAAATAGGGAGAGATTGATCTATAATCAGCACTTCATTTTAAGTGCCAGAGCTGAATTATTTCCATGTGGAAAAAGTCAGATAGTCTTAAATTTTGGTTTGTAGAAAAAACCCACAATAATTATACCTAGTCATGTATTTTTATTCCTTTCTCATTACCTGCTTTCTTTCAGGACACCAGAACTATTATGGTATACAGGAAAGATGTTAACAATCCGTAACTTGTAACCCCCTTTTCACTAGGAATCAATTTCTTTGTCTGTAGACTCACTTTCCCACCTTCTTCTTTTTCTGCCTCTCCACCACTTCCAAACTTTTCCTAAGTCTAGAAAACTGAACTTCGCAGCTATAACTTTAGAAGTATATTGGTACAAAATTTCTTAAGAAAAAATCTCGTAAGTACTTGCCCAAATTCTTGCTGTACAGTGATGGTATGACATCAGTGCTGGAATTTTACTTATGTCCCTCCGTTTCCAGCCCCAGTGTGCATGACCATCGAACTCCCTTGCACACATCCATAGAGCCGCCTTGCACAGCTGTACCTGTTTCAGCAAGATACCATCCACCCTGTTCTCCATCAGCTCTTGAACCATTAACTATAGATATGATCTAAATAAGCTTTGGGTAAATAGGAGGAAAAAAAAATACAGATAAAAGACCCTCTCGTCGTACCTACTCTTAAGTCAGTCATCCCACTAACTTGCAGGGCGAAAGACAGCTCCTCTGCCTTTGCTCTGGAGCTTCTTTCAGTCAGGGATGGTTCACTTTACTCATCTGTAGCAAATACACTGTGAAGTGTTTTCCTCAAAAGAGCCTTTAAGAGACTTATAATTCACAGACAGTAAGAGGGATAAAATCTTGGAGATGCGGCTGTTATTTTGCTTAATAAACACTCAACTCAAACTTTCTTTCTGCATGCTGGACCACCACAAAACAATTTTGCAACCTTTAATGGCATGCCAAACATTTCAAGCATGAAGAAAATGTCACACCGCAGAATAAAAAGCAGGCAAAACCTTTTTGTGCTTGAGTGGATTATCAGAAAACTGCAAATGGGGTGTTTACTACCAAGAGGAAAAAGGAGAGAGCTGAAAAGTGGGACAAGCAGGTGGAGAATTTGGCTTTTTGTTCGCAAAGTGCAGCAGAACTCACTGACCAGCCTTTTCCTTTTCTTTTTTTCTTTAAAGCAACGTATTATTACCATCAAGAGAATAGATTTGCAGCAGGTGATGTCAGCAACATGGCTTAGGTGCCACAGAGACACAAGCATAGCAGGCATTGATAACCTGCAGCGAAGCATCGCCTCATTGCGACAGAAGATGGAAGGGACAAGACCCAATAGCTCACCGCATCATCCAAACCAAAGGTATATCTCCCTGCATCACCCTGTTGGCCACTACCTCCCTCCTCTCCTACCATCCAGTTGCCATGTTTTTTAAAAAGAAATAAAAAAATCCAGAGTCATCACATAGTCACAGCCTTTACAGCGTTGCATCACCCACCATGGACATGGGCATCCTCAGTGCTCCATGCAGGCTGGTGAACACCTCTGCACTGAGTGAAGAAAGGCTATTTCTGAAGGTCTAAGTTCCATGCCCATCAGGCCCAACGTGGCCCAAGCTGCCTTGAAACCTGCAGCCCTGTAGCTACAAAATACCAATAACAGCAAATGCTAAAAGGCTTTACATGGTGGAGAGGAACGCACGGTAACACTCGAGATCTTGTATCGCTCAGCCTCATGCAATAAAAGACGAAATCCACTTACCACAAATGCTATCACGCTCTTTACTGTGGACTCCCAGAGAAAGCAGCTCCGAAGGAATTGTATTGTATTCCATATTGCCATGGTGATTTTTTTCACGCGATCAACATTTCTTGATAAGATCTGATAAATATTGAGTGGGAGGAGGGGAGGAGAAGAGGAGTTTAATCAAACACTAATATCTTACTATTGCTTCAGAAACAGGGACAATTTAAGCTGCAAATGCATGCCAAGGCATATATTACAAATAAAGCCTTTATTTCAAAGACACACTCCAGCTCTTGCCTGCTTTCTGATTACACCCAAACCTTCCAGGTTTTCCTTATCCCTTAGAGGAAAAAAAAAAAGGGGCAAAAAAGAAAAGCACATCTTGATGCCTAAACTCCACAAAGCATTAATGCAAACCTACCTTCATTCCCCTTCAATTCTCAAAATATAGCAATGTCTCAGGAAAAGGGCCAGAGAAAACGTAATCAAAACACTGAATCGCTTCTGTACATAATTTAAATTAGTCCGTAGAAATAAGCAGGGAATTTTAGCCTTATTATATGACACCTTTACTCAAGAAAAGGATAACAGCCATTGTTCTAAAATCCTATAAACTAATTTAGACCCGGTTTCTTCATTCCCAGAAAAGGGAATAAGGCTCTTGTTGAGCTTTCAGTGCTGCGAGCTGTGCAACACACACAGCTATCATTTTCCCCACTCCGAAGCACGAGGCAGAACTACTGATGCAAGCTAGATCAGAAAGCAATTTCATGTTAACACAAGCAAACCTTTTAATACATACAGAAATAGGCAGAGTTTACATGTGTTCCGTGTTTTATGCATAAACAGGCTTTGTTCTTACAACAGGGCTACAGCAACTCAGACCTTTCCAAAATAAATGTGAGAGCTTAGCCCAGAGACCAGCTTCACCTTTTTAGAAAATTTGCGGTTCTCCTCAGTGAAGCGCTTTTCTCGGGGCTTGAATGTCCTAATACTTGCTTTTACCTAAAAAAAATAAATAAATAAAAAGATGTCATGTAGTTTTAAGTGCATTATTTCAGCTTTGTATCACTGAGTGTTGATTAGGAATTTCAGGATCTTTCCTTTTTTTCAGCCTCTACATGACTTCGGAGGGGCTGTTAGGAAAAACGTGGATTAGTTAAATTGGGCGAGGCTGGACTGACTTCAGCAAGAGCAGAGCTGGGGTGCAGCCCACGATAGCCCTAATAAATGGGATTTAACTCAGTAAAAGGCTGTAGGGTATAAACAATTGAGACTGACTCAGCCACCTAAAAACCTAAGCGCACCGTATCCATGCCTCATTAATTTTCCTGTCAACACCGTGGGAAGAAAACGTCGTGGGTCAGCTTTTTGGGGAGAAAGTAGGTGTTTAAAGTAGCATATGATAATCTAAATATTAAATCCATTTTTGGCTGTTGCCCGTAAAGTCCTGAAGAACAGTAACCAGCATCTCCTTTTTAAGGTGCTTGTGGTCATTTCTAAGTCCAAAACTGCCCCTTCATTGTCCCATCCACCTGGAGGGGTGTCCACGGCTATCCACATCTCATGTCTCAATACTTCTTCACCCATGGTGTGAAACACCCCTCCACCACCAGATGCAACTGAGTCAGGACTTTTCCAGCTTGGCTCCTGGTTTTTAAAGCATCATCCCCCACCCTCGTCCTTGCAGATTCACACGTTTCTTACAGCAGCGATAGCAAAGAGAAAAATATTTCAACTTACAGGATTAAATAGGACATCCAGCTCCAAGTAAATTACTCCTTTTGAAGCACGTTCCAAGTCTTTATTCTTCAGCGTGTAACAACTTTGTTTACCGTTTCTAATCTATAGTTTGGGGGAAGCAGGGAGAAAAAGCATCAATATTTTCCTGGCTGTAATTCACAATATAATTTAAAGACACTACAAACAAATAAATAAATAAAATCGCAAGCACAAAAAAAACACCCTCCCCAAACCCTGATAATATACTTGGAGCCTGAAATACAAAATGACCGTTGGATTAGAGACCTATAAAATTGCAGATTAAATCTCTTATGGTCCAACTTTAATTTACAGACCTTGTACTTTATAGTAGAGCAGTGCACGCAATAACCAGTCTGAAAATTCTGCCCTGGAAGCCAGTGAGTTGATGGGAAGTAATCAGCCTCTGTTATTACAGGTTTAAAATGGGATTTTTCTTCCAAAGTTCAGGAAGAGAGCCACAAACAACAACTCACCTACCTATTGCACGCTCCAGTACATGAACCCACTTCTTAACGCTTAGTTTATTGCAAAGTTGTCAAATTATTACCCAGGAAACAAATGCAACCCAAAGAAATTAATCAGCTTAAGTGGAGTGAATGCTAATGTAACAAATGTTCAAAATTAACTAATTCACATAAAAGACATCTCCCTCCACCCCTGAATTTCAATATCGTTTCTATGCTCTAATGTGCCGGTTGGCCCTATTGCATTAAATGTCTATTAAAAAGAAACAAACCAACAATCAACAAAAAAAACCCTTCCCTTACCATTTTGTAAACTATTTGGCTCAAATCAAAAGCATTCTCTCTTCAAAAAGTGATGGCAGAAATGTATTTATTATACACAGTAGGATATGTATTGATTAAACATTTGGCTTTTTAGGAAGCAGACCAGTTAATTCTAAACAGCAGTAACATAAAAAACTGCAGCTTACCAAAAAGCTACATTCAGGGACTGTAATGATCAAAGATTAAAGATAACGGAGGAAATTTGGGGGCATGAAATTGCAACCATATTTAAAACGGCTATTGCTGTTCTGGCATTTAGAAGAGGCACTCATATAAACCATGGGAGAAATGAGCAAGGGGGAAAAAAACGCCAACGCATAATGGGAACCAAGTGATTTTGCAAGACAAGGGAAAGGCCACTTTCCTCAGCAATGTTGCTCCACCCTTTCTGTACCAAATAGCTCATCAAAGGGTAGATGGGTTTTCTGCCTAACAGTTGAAAGGCAAAAGGGCTCTCATAACTTGACGTCCTCAGTGGTGTCCAACCAGGACCTCCAGCTTTAACCACGTTCTCAACCAAAGTTTTGCTTAACAGGATGCTGGGAGTTACGCAGGCATATGTGGAATTTATTTAATAACAATAAATAATAGCAATGACAGGCACTGCACTAAACTCATCACAAAGCACCTCTGCTTCCTCTGCAAGAAAGTACACAAGAGGATGTACACCAGAGGCTGGAGTTGGCAGCAAAGGATATTGCAGCTCCCAAGAACAGGGCAGGCAAAAAACTATTTTGTAGAACAGCAGGCTCAGATAACCTGCAGCCCCTAAACAGGTGAGCTGCTGAAGAGGCTAGCCCTTCTTCGAGGGCCAAAATGGACTGGCATCACAAGGTCCTCAGGCCAACTGCCACATACAGGAATGTTGGCTCATCATACAGGATTCTGCTATTTAGCAGTTTCTTTCCCCTCCCAACTCAAGCAAGGGCAAAAAATTATTTTAAAAAGCTACGGAATGAAAACAAAATTTATTTGGAAATCAAATATTTTGTTCAATTTCCCAAATTAACTGAAAAATGGATTTACTGATGATAGAGATGTAACGTCAGAACTTGGTTTGAGGCTGTTATCCCTTTGGTCTAAGGGGATGCCATCAGCAGCAGGTTTAGACTGAGCTTTGATTCACGGACTCTCCCTGCAACAGGATAGAAGGTACATTTTTCCCAGTGTGTCTGCAGAGACGTAGGTGTCCAACACATATCACAGTATCATAATTCTGGATTCTCCACAGTTATTAATTTGGGGGCTGAATGCCAATGTATTTCAGTTACACAAATTTCTCATATCATTTCATCCTGTTACCCTAGTAGCAATAACTAGTGAGAAGTTCTCTTTATATTCCTTGGGATATACTACTTTCTCACATCTCTCAAACACATAGCCAACAAGGGGGAAAAAAAGTGTCACAAGCTGCTAAATTGACAGAAAAAGGAAAAGAAATGCTGTCTCTACCAAGAAGGTCTGAGTCTGATGTCATGGTATTCTGCACTCCAAAAATGCTTCTGACTTTGGGGAAAACACTCTTTGTTTTAAGAGTTGGAGCTGAATCAAATATTTTGGGCATGTCCGCAGGTGTGTTCTCACAGCAAGTTTCAAATCAGCAACAAAAAACTTCCATTTCTGTCTGTACTTAGAGGTTGGTTGTTGTTTGGAAAACTTTTTAAAATGGTGTCATTATTGTTGTTGCTGCTGTTCTAAAATTGAATGGGGCAGAAAGTAACACAGTGCAAATACAGTTAGCTTCATTTAGCATCTTTAATTTTAAGTGTTTGACTTGTCTGGTGAAAGATGTGCAATTATAAATCAGCCTAAGACTAAACATTCATACAGATATCCTAGCTTTTGACCTTCTTCAGAGGAAAAAAGCACAAGAGAAGAACAACTGGCTACAAAATGTAACGTCTCCATTGCATTTTCTTTTGGATAAAAAGAAAAAACCTTGAAAAAACGTCAAACAAAAGTCTCTCTCAGTTTTGGCAACATGCTAAGCCAGCGTGGTTCAACAAAAGGTACAGGGTAATTCTAACACCCATGACTGCATGGAGATTAGATCGGTGGCATGTCTCAACTGTGCCCAGAAGAAAACATGCAAAATAGCTTTTAATACTCTACATTTTCATTGCATGCTGATCTTGGGCCAGAGTTCAGATTCTGTTCAACATCTCCCTCAATCTCGAGAGACAGTCAGTCATATTAATTTCATTTTGGATCTATTTCTTTCTCCTCTCTGGGTACTTTTCCCCAGTTTCTGCTTTTCACAAAGACTGCTTAAATGCTGTCTCCAGCTGTGGAAAAGGTAAGCAGCCAGGGCTGGGGTCCTAGGATGAACCTCAAAGTCAGAAAGATCAGATTTCTTCTGTCACTCAAACACCTTTTGCTAAATAACTGATGATCTCACACTGATTTCACTCAATGAAGTTTTCTAACAGTTGGGTCTAAAATAGGTTCTCTTTCCTATGAATGTTTACTTCTACTTATGGGAAAAGGGAAGGAAAGGAATATTCAAATTAAATGAAAATATCTACAGGTGAGGTCCTTAAAGAGACAATCAATATTATCCCTTTATTGATTATGTTTTATATCCTCACTGAATACTAATGCCTGCATTCTCTGAAAGCTGCTTAATAGCATACAACCTACTGGGGCTCAAGACTGCCCATAACCATGTGATTGACACGAGGACAGCTGTGCCTACACCACCGACATGCTTCACTTGGCAAGGTCACCATCAGAAAACTTCTGAAAAAAAGTCAAGACTTTCATCCTATGGGAATTGCTGATATTTGGGGCATTTCCCTGTTCTGAATCAACACAGAAAGACAAAACATACGTATCAATACTTTCACAGAACAATTCATATAATTTATATCACAGTCCCTTCTCCATACAGGAAGATACAAAGAAAATTATCAGTTGGAAGAAAAGCTAAAATTCTTTGTGCATTAAACATTTGGACCTACAGAGGCACTTCAGACAGAAGCGACTTCTGGCAGCGCTTTAGCTGAAGGAACTGTTCAGGTACACAAAACCACCGTGCAGTCGAGGTCCAAAGTGCACCGAGTTCCTCTCAAATGAATGAATATATTTGCTAAACTCTTCCCACAGACGTCCCCAGTAAAACAAATGTGACTAAACACAGTATTGATGTAACCAGCCAATGCTAAATCTATTAAGCAACAACCTTCTGACCGCTTGGGAATTTTAATGAAATAGCAAAAGCCAAGATTGATATGACACAAAACACGGAGAAGACAGGACCCTTACGCAGCAAAGGGTGTTTTTTCATTGCTCTTGTCTCAAAGAAATATGGTTTAGTGGCTTTTTTTTTTTTACATCGATTTTAAGAAAACTTCACTCTGTATCCAGCTTTGATGCAGACTCAATGTCATATATTGATGACCTGACAGAAGAACACGGGTGAAACCTCTGTACATCAACACCCGTGACGTGTGGAAAGGGTAATGGCTACTCTCCAAAGGTAATTCATCTAAAGCATTTGGGACCTCTGATATTCCTGCTTGAGCTCATTGCTGATACACAATGTCATACCATTTGCCCTGAATAACATAAAGCTGTCTTGTAATAGACACACACCTACCCTTATCAAAGGACACATTTCCCCAGGAAAAGATGAAAGCAAGCAACATATTTGATCCACCTGGACATGAATAAAGAGGTTTTTTGTTTCTTCCCAGTCTTGCAATATACCTTGATTCAATTTTGTAAAAAATACCCATTCGTTCATCTCAAAACTTTGCCCCAAACGTTTAACAACCTTCTGTGGGATTTAAAGTAGAATGAAAACGTGGGTTCTTGGCAAAGGATTGATATCCAAAGACCAAACAGATATGGAGCTCAAGGTCTGAAAGAAAGCAAGCAGCCACACTAGGGCTTCCAGGCAATCCGAGGAGGAGCTGAAAACCCTGGGAGCACAAGGATCCAAGGTGGTACTGGAGAAAAACAGTCCTCTTGATACCATTTCAGTGAGCAGGGCATGGTTGGGGGAGAATTTAATTTCAGAAACAAAGTATCATTTTTTCTGGAAGAGATGTGTGGATTTTTCCCCATTCTAAAATTTCTGGTTCACGACAGGGATAAAACTCAGAAGAGACTATCCACTTCACAGCTGCATAAACGCAGCATTTTCACTTTTCTCAAACTCTGAAGCTTTCTCCTGGAAAAGGCCACGTGCTTATGGTCAAGTGCTAAGTAAATCGCAATCATCATCAGGTGTCTGCGCTCTGAAACCAGGCCATGATTTAGATAATTCAGCTTGCAAAAGGCACACTGCTTGTTTTCAGTGTACCGTTGGCTACCGACCTTGCCTGGCACTTGAAAACATTTCATAGACCTCTTCCTGTTTGCTGACAAAAGGGTGCAGCTCAAGTCTACTGTGATCTGATAATTCAGAAGATAAAAAACATTCTATTCTGCGCCACAACTTCACTCAAAGGTCTTTCTACACGAGGGTATTTGATATACTCTGCTTTCAAATTCATTGAAGCACACTATATGCTCCCATGCCTCTAATAACTTGCAGCCTTCTAGAAGATAGGAGTCTCTTGAAGCAAAACCAAAAAGACCCTCTAAAGAGAAACACAGTTGCTTTTATTAAGATCTAGGGCACAAAGGAACACAGAGACGGAAAGGACTTCTCTGATAATTAGTTCAAGTCCCACCAAATCCACAAAACTTCTAAATCAATCAAACTCCTTTCTAGAAGCAATGACTTTTTTGCCCTACTTCTCCATTCCACAGGATCTTCTTCAGTTTCTAGCACAAAAGCCTGCTCTGTTCAGTGGTGTAAACGGTCTTCCCTTTCATTCCTCAGGCTCTAAGAAAGCAATCTCCCACTCAGCCCAAAGGTTAAGCAAGCCAGACTCTATAGGTCACTTCTGGCAAGAGGGCAATCCACTTTGAATATCCCAGTAGCAATAATCTGTGTCTTTTCCGGTTTAAATTCCACTTCTGTGAATGTGGCTGAGCAGGGCTGTGTTTGAGATGAGGTATCTCATATGTGCTTTAGAGGAGCACAGTAGTTTGACATAAAGAAAGGCAGGAGAAAAAGAATACAATAGGTTGATTAACATGGAAAAGCTGAAGATAAAATGCAAGCAACCAACCATTTCTCTCACTCTATCCCCCACCTACTTACAAATAGAGAAAATTCCAAATTCAGTGTAATGGTATCAAAATCCATGTCTCTGCAGTGCATTATTAACAGAGCTGTACGAGAAATAAAGCAAATTGTGTATTCATTCAATATTGCTTCATCATGCCTATCAAACGAACATGTAGTTTTCAGCTTTATTCATTATCTGACACTTTAAAACTCTTCTCACACGGCCCAACTTTTTATGTTTCTTCTTTGGTGCCTGCAATAAGCCTAGAGCACAATCGAGGATGAATTTAAAGCATAAGTAATTTCACCACCTCTTAATTTTTTGTGCAGCAAGGATATTTGTGCGATAATGTGACGACGACGGTGTACGGATATTTGCAAAACGCCGGTGTAAGGCTCCTGAACACATTTAAACCAAAAATTCGTTGTCAAATTAAACATTTCATATCCCTCCTACATACACTTTATACAAGGCAATTTTTCATTAAGAAAAGAATCTAGTCATCCATGAACAATTCCTGAAGTAAACTTACTTCATGTGCTGACAGCTCACAAGTCAAACTTCGGCATTTTTAACAGGAGAAAAAAAAAAAAGAAAATGCGCTTCTATTTTCCAAAGACAATTTAATGAAAGGCAAATATTAGGCCCGATTACCTAGAAAAATTAAACCTATATGATTTGCAAGGCTTCCTTGAGTCTTTAACTATTTTCCTCTTTCAGCATATTTATCTAAATGGTTCAAAGGATACATTCAAATCTATAGTCAAAATGACAACATACGTCGAAATTCCCATTTCAAGTAAAAGAGCTTAGAAAATTGCAGTTCTCTGTCTGAGCAGACTAAGTTAATAGGTGAAAAATGTTTTTTAATCAGAAGCAGAGATGAATCTATTTACACTAGATGTGACTGAAATAGGAGGCAGAGAAGTTTGGATGGAAAGGAAGAAGATCAGTTGGCAAGGCAAAGCATAAACAACTTTTATTTATTTTATTTTTTTTTGTCTCAAACCTTGGACAAAAAACCTACGCTGAATAGTTTGGACATTACCACACACATGCACTCCCCTCCTCTGCCTTGTTACATACTTCCTAAGGGATACTTGACAAATGCCTATAAAATCAACAGAAAATCCAAATCTAACATCTTCTCACTGTGAGCCCACACAGCCTGCTGCCGATCATGCAGACCATTTGGCAAGCACTGGATCTGCAGGAGAGCAGCTGCTCCAGCCACTCTCTTCCAGTAACATCAGAGATATGAGGACTTGGGGAAAAATTAACGAAGTGATCAAAAATGGAATAAAAGATGTTAAGAGGTTTTTTCCTCCCTGTAAACATCGAATCATCCTCCATGCCCAACTGACTCGAATATTGTTCTAAAACTGGAGATATTGACAAATCAAGCCACTAAAATAGACAAACAATTAAAATGTCCCCAGCCTCAAAAAGAACTTGCAGTCCTAGCCACAGAAGGAGGATTGCAAAGGACACCACAGTGTGCGGGGCACCAAAAGTCTAGGACTTACTCCTCAGGTTCCATAGCTTAGGCCTTTCTTATTCCCCAAATTGCAGAGGTTCCCCCATTTTGGACTCCAGTATAACTTGGAAAGAGCACACGGCGGATGAAAACAAACACTTTTGTGAAGATATTCAGAAGTCACATTGCTTTTAATTCACATACAAAAGAAACACACTTATTTAGACAAAATAATAACAAAATAGAGCACGTTGGACTATTTCTTTACCACTATAAAGCATTCCTTAGGCTGGGATCATGTCCTCTAAGCCAGTTCGAGAGTTTTCTGGGCAGTTCATTATTTATTTGGTAACATCAAATATTTGCAGTTCCCCTCTCTGATCTTGATTGGTCTCTTATCTAATCTGTGCTGGCTCTGTGGGGCTTACACGGCCCACTTAGATCAGATGGGACCTTTGCTTTCCCTCTAGAAACCTCCCATTTCTCCAGACTCTGCCAGGACAGAGCCCCACCAACCCGTTACTGCAACACTGCCTCTCCTGCAGCAGCCCACCTCAAACTCCAAGACAAACTCTTGCCTTAACCACGACAGGTGTGTGCCAGCCTTTCCGCAGAGGTGAATATGCTTTCACAGAGATATTTCAAAACAGTACTGCAATTTTATACTCTATAATTTCAATCGAGATTCACCTACTCGAGAGTGCTAGTACCCATAGCATCACCCTGCACATTACCAAAAGCATCTCACTACTGCATGTATCACTTGAACCACGTCAGATAATGCAAGCATGAGTGTTTGTACAGGGCTTAACGCAGCACTCACTGCATAGATACCTGTCACACCCTCTCAAGGGAACCTACTGCAAAACATCAATGCCTCAAAACTCAAGAAAATCCCCACGCTTACAGCTTAACATGTTTATACGACTCGAGTGATATGAGCACAAGAGTCCAGTGGCATTTCAAACCTCATCTGCTAATTGATTTAATAAAAGTCACAGCCTAGAAAGTTCTTCTCAAACTTTACTGCAGAAGTCAGCAAAATCTTCTGTGATACTGCACATACACATGGAGATGTTTACATCCTCTTCATCTGGTTTACGCACTCTACCACCAGCCTTGTTCCAAAATTAAATCAGTCGTACCAAACACAAAGCTGCTTTTCCCCCATTTCTCTATTAATGTCTTTTAATGACCCTTTTTTGTTCCCCTCTCTTTAGTTTGGCCTTTTCTGGCCATTTCTGAAAAAGCTTCAACTCTCCTTAATCTCCAGAGCAACCACTTTCCCCTGAGCTCGCTTTGTTTCCAGTTTTGATTTTATACTCCCATGGTAGCACTCGCTCTTCACATATTTGTTTACAGAACAAAAGCCACCAGTCTTTAAAAGCTCTACGGAGTAGAAAACACCCCTTTTAGGTAATTTTATTCAGCTGTGCCAATAACAACAGCTATCTCTAGTCAATCCTACTGTGATGTGCAATTACTTTCTTGGAGTAAAAAGAAGCAAGACGGAACAAAGACATGCTTAAAACGTTACCTTCAGAAGATGATGTGGAAACATACAGAACAACTCAATTATGTTTTCAGACCTACATGGTATATAGTACTGATGAAGTACAGACACTTCCACTATTTTCTTTCCAATCAACCAAACTTGTACTAAAATGGGTTGGCAATGCTTGTTACACTAAGGAGAACTATAAACATCGTCAACTGAGGCACATATAGATCACAAAGCCTGTTTATCTCTAAGCCTGTGTTGCTTTATGCTATGGGGAAAAGAAATGCAACTTGTTCCCAGCAAAACCATCAATGTTTGAGTGATATATGTGGCAAAGGTAACTTACAGACAGCAAAGGGATGGCAACTTTTCCAAGAAAATCAGGGGGTTTATCTCCATCTTCATCAAACACTGTCACTTCCAGAACATCATGAATATCTTTAATAGGGCTGGAACAAAAAGTGTAGACATTAAAAAAAATACATATATTCAATACACATGCATAGAGTCTCTGACAAAGATGTGAGAATACTGTTTTACTAATTAAGTTTGTATTACCTTGGAGTATAAAACTAGCATTTAATTAAATTCCAAAAAAAGGAATCAAATTATGGATATTCCCCAAGCTTTTCCCTCATGTTTCAGTCCCATAACTAGGTGAAGAAATTAACTATCAGACAGTAACACTTTTTGTGCATCAATATTGATGTTAACAGTGTAGAAGTCAGCTCTCCAACAGAGAAAGCTGGTGACTGGGAGAGGTCAAGGGCTGAATCCAAAACCAGGCTTCAGGACATTAAATAATCCAGGAAACAAAACTTATGTAACTTCATTTGACTTGAACAATTATCTCCCTTTTAAGGTACTAAAAAAATCAACTACTTTAAAAAAAAAAAACTCCTATCAACCCTAATTAAAGGCCAAATGTACAATATTTTTGTTCCATTCAGTGCAAATGCTCTACTGATGTGGCAGCAAGCACTGGAGCCTACGTATTTATGAGGTCATTAATAGATCAGAGTCTCATTTAAGAAAAGTTATGACTGCGTGCCTGAGAAAGCAGCAGTAAGTGGAAACAACTTAGGAGTTGCATTCATTATCTCCTCTTTTCCTTTTCCATGCGCAAGCGTTAAAGAAAGAGGTATGTGGTACAGTGTGTTTGTCATCCTGCCCAAAAGAAGGTTGTTTCAGAGCAGGTCTCTTCCCAGGACCTCTGTCTATGACACGGTGGAGTTGCTCCTCGCAGAGCAGAGTCCGAACCTAAAAGCCACCTGGTTATCTCTCCAACTAGCAGGCATAGCACCTTCTGTGATGTGACTCAGGCACTAGTGGCAGCCAAACAACCACGAAATGCACTGTTTTCAAGACATTATGGCTTTAAAATATATTGAAACCTGCCACTTCTGCAACCATACTTCCATATTCTTCTCCAAACCATTATAATTTTCCATATGCTATAGCTACCAGTGGCATAAAATATTAAAACCCCATAGTGACACACACAGGTAAGTGTGTTGCATAAAATCTAAATATGATGGGTAGGGCACTCTGGTGGTACTGAATGCTCCAGCTGAAACGGATTCATCCACTCAAAACAATCCACTCTGCTCCAAAATAAATCTAAGTCATCAATAGTTTTTAAGGTGCTTAATTAATTTTTTTTTTAAATGGCCAAAAATCTAAGGAGGGACGCAAGAGCCTGACTGGCTCTGCAGATTTGGTTCTTGGACTAGCCATGCAACAGCAGTAACAAAGTCAGAGGTAGTCCCCAGCTGACCTTTCTGAGACCCACGGGAAGTTTAGACACAAACTTTCTTTCTAAATGAAAGAATTCTGGATTCTTATTACATCTATTTTGTCGGGTGTTCAGCCAACAAGACTCATCCACTGGCACAATCTCAGAATCAAAAGTGATGAGTGGAAGCTTCTTGAGAACAAAGTAAGAGAAAGGACTCCAAGAGACATGCATTCAGCTGCAGCCATGAATTAAACAGAAATCTGGCAAGGTACTTCTACCAAAGAGATCAGATACTTTTTATTATGTTTGCATCCAGCCCAGTATATATAAATGTTGCTTTTGCAAGAAGTCTATCATTCTCAAACTGTTCTTCAAGTGGACAGTTGCAAATGTCACAAATGCTCCATTGCCAGCCTTCGTGGTTGCCTTCCTTGCCACAGACTACTACTACTACTGTCTTGGAGACATTTGTCTCACTCAGCTATTCACAAAAACCTTTGTCAGCATAAAGCTAGGATAAAAGATTGTGCTGCCTAAAAGCAATACCTAAATTATCACTTTTGTTATTAATAAAGTCAGGAAAAAGAAGAATACTTTGATTTCCATAAAAATTTAAGCTTCTAATTTGAGGTAAGATATGTTTGACTAGATTAAATTAAAAAATACACCAGGAACAACATGAGCTCTAATTCTCTGCTTACTTACAAATTAAAGAAAACTACTACTGTGGTTCAATGAAACATATTTTATTTTAAATTAAGGAAAATGTACACGTGAGTATCTGGTCTCTACTTTCTGTTATATTATCTCTTGGATCCAGCTATGACTCCATTATGTCTAGTCATGATTCTTCCTATAAATATCACAGTAATTTTTCTTTTAATGACTTCTATTAATAAACTCCATGCAAGAACTAGTAAAAGGCAAAAAGCTTTAATTGAGTTATATTTGATATTTCTCCAACATCCTCTCTGACTATGAAAAAACGACACGTCTTAAACTTGACCTTTATATTTTTCCCAAAGTCGATAGCTTTTATAGTTAAGCTGCTAACTGTTTGGTGTCGCAGCACGTTTTCAAAAGCAATCCACTTACAATGTGAAAACTTTATTCCACTCTGGATTGAGGTTCTTGTAAACAGTGTGTGTTTGAAGACTGTCATTTCCCAGCTCTAATACACAGAAAGGATCACTTTTACCTAGGGAAGGAACAGACAGAAAAAGAAAGGAAAAAAAAACACAGTTAAGTGGACCAGTTATTGTATTTAGCATGCATGCTCCTTCTTTGCAGTAGGGCTGAGGAAATGATTGGTCAAACAAAATTAGATCCATTAAGACAACTGCAAACTGCCTCATTCTGTTGGAATGACTTGCTAAATAAATATCTCCGATGCATCCATCAGTTCTGGAAACACTTACCTTACAACTGTTTCAGGTGGCTTCGCTCTAATACTTGCAGTCTGAGACTTTCAGCAAATCATCTCAAAGCCTTTACAGCAAGAAAAATCTGCTCACGTTAGCAACTACTCAGACAACCTTACGGAAGCAGTACCGTCATTCTGACCCAGGTAAGTGTCAGTGCTGCAGTTACACCTCTCTGTTTTATCCTCTGCTGTGGTCTTCTTCCATTGATTACAGGATTAAGCACCCACACCATGAGAAGAGGAGCACAGCACTGTCTGTATCAGCAACCTTTCTTCAATTAGTTCCATGTGAGCAAGTCCTTGAAGCTATGAAGACCCTACACAGTGCTGCAGTTTAAACAAAACCCAACATCAACTGGAGAACCCATGCGTGAACCAGGTATCGTACTTAAAGCAAACAAAACAAAACCCCCAAAATCAAACCACTCCCAGTCTCCTCTCAAAAAAAAGGATATAAATGCAGAACCTATTCTGGTGAAAACATGTTCACTAATGTAATTTTTCCATAACTGACGTCATATGAATTTGTAGCGTTCACAACTTATTGCAGCTCAGCAGTTTCCATCGTGAACGGAGTACCCTTTATTATCAGCATGTCTGGCTCAGTATCTGATTTAATCTCATCTTCAGTGTTCATGTGCAACTCAGCCAGAGACACTCCAGCCTAAGTTTTATGCAGGCAACTAATTATGTCAGCAATGCAGGGATTTAGCAGACAAACAAGATATTTAAGCAAAAGCTGTCTTTTTCTTAATCCTTATTTTTGGTATTATTAATGCAGAGCTCTTAAGGTTCTTACTCTGAGAAGTTCATAAACTAAACAGGAATCTTTTCAGTATGTAAACAGTGGGTATTAACTAGTCAATACTGGTAAAGTTTAAAGACCATGTGTATTACTGGAATCTATTTGTCTTCTCCTTTTCAGCTTACGCGCCCATTCCCTGATAAGTGTGGAAAATGCGTGTAGCCTTTCAGAGAAACTGCTTGAAATGCAAACTGGTATATGCCAAAAACAATCCCACTGTATAATTTGGTATTCTGAATGCTATTTTTTGGTCAGTGAGCAAATGCAGTGTTTGAGAAGAACTCTCATGCGTACACAGAAAACATCCAACAAAGCAGAAAAAGTCATTTTCACGTCAACAAAACTATTATCTAGGAATATAAAAGCATGGAAGGCTCAAACTGGGCTAGCTGTGGCTGAAGAGCTTCTACATGTTTGATATAGCTGTGTGGAAACTAGCCTAAAATTTATGTCAAATGGTAAAATATGGATTTTCAAAACACTGTTCAAAACCAAAGTAGATACTATGTTGTTTTCTGATAGCTATTATTATAGTAGGCTAAAATCTTACAATTAAAATCTATAAAGCCAACATATAATCAACTGACAACAGAAATCCCAATCACACCAAAATCCAATCTTTATTACGGGAATAAGTAATAAGGTATGAGCTGGCATTACACATGTCATCAGATGACTGGGCTGCAGAAGTTCACCCACCCAAGACTGATGGCTACTGTGGGACAGGACAAGGAGGAAACACTACCTGCTCTTCTATCAACCCTTGGAAATCTTTGTACCTCTTATTGTCTCTGTGACTTCCCCCTTATCAGACTTTTAGCTGGACTTTGAATTTACTTTTATCAATAACAATAAATCCGAGCAGTCTCCCTGGCAATGCAGGAAATACGGCACTGCTCTAGGAGGGCTCTATTATGGAAGCCCATAATTGCTGCACTAATCATTTATGAATGGCTCAGAACAGATAATTAATCTTCATGTCTCTCATTTCACGATCAGAAATTATGCTATTTATACCTAAAATGGCTGCATCCTTTTGCAATTTGGTGGGTCTATTACAGCATAATACTAGGATATTTTCAGCACTGCCATTGAAAAACAATTTGTCATTTGCTTCATGAATCAGGCTCAAAGCCTGGGTTATTTTGAATATAATGACAGACTGAGTAACCTTTTACTTAAGCAGAATTTCATTCTGCGCTATGCACAAGGAATGTGTGTCACATACTCTGTATGAAAAGTCTTTGAATCGCAGAATCAAGAACCTGCGTGTCTCTTCCAACGTTCATTATCCACCCACATGCTCCTGTTTAAGTATTGAGGGAAAGGGGGCCAAATCCAGCACTGATGCAACTGCATTAGCATCAGCGAAGTTTTCCAAAGGGTAGGTAACCTTCTGGGCCCAGCTCCTTCCCTGGACCCTGTCTATATTAGAGCCTCACGTATTTCTAGATAGCCCCAGCCTGCTGTTTGCCAAAGGTTCTGCTTTGCTGTGGTACAGTTCTTCATAAATTTGTTAGTAAGGTGCACTTACACTCCTAATTCCATATAGACTTCTACATGATGTCAATTTAGAAATGCATTTCTGTACAAGCTACCTTCCATTATTGACAGGTGTTTTGCTTGTTTTCAAATTGAATTCTTCAGTTCTTTAAAGTCCGGCTGCCAACAGTAATCCATCTTTTCCACAGCAGGGTTAAGCAGTGAATTGAAACTCAAATAGTATCATGATTAATGTTAGTCTTTCTCCTTTGGTCTTTATTTTAGGAGCAACATTCTCACGTTACAATGTCTTCACGAATACTAGGGAATGGGGCAAGAGTGTTTTCTCTCTAGCATCTTTCCTGCCTTTATCAACAAGTTATCTTAAAAAAATGACTATGTCAGCAAATATATAACACACAATGCTGTGTCTGTGAATTATGAGCTGCTGCGACATACAGAGGGGAATTAAAAGGTCTCCGGAATCCTGTAGAAGATGATAATAAAAATAATAATATCCAGGCAGTCGCTACAGAGAAGTATCAATTCCCTAGACCTTCCCTAGAGAAACAATATGAAGTTGTATTTTTAAAAGGTGTTCGCATCCATTGCTGTCAGGACCAAGTACAATTTGAGGTACAGCTCGATGGAACATCTGTCCTTTTCTCGAAGTAAGAGTACCAAAAAGATCACCTCAAATCAGACTCGAACAAGCTGTAAGAGAAACCATCACACTCACATCCCCATCGCTGGCAAGCTTTCTTTTTCGGGTGACAGCCTACAGTGCCACCCAAACCCACGTACTCAGCACCATGTCTGATGCCTCCAAAATCTTTCAGTCTCATTCATGAACTCAAGGCAACCAATAGAAGATGGAGAGGTTGCTTTGCAGGCACCATTACTTTATATAGTGTAATGTAAGCCATATTTTTTACATGGTCCTGTTGGAAAATACAACAGTACACCATGCTAAGGTATTGGTCATACCAGTCAGATCTAAAAGGAAAAAATCATATCTCCAATATCTCCATCCAGTGGCCCTTCCCACATACTTTTGGGAGTCAAAACCGTCTGGTGTCTCAGTTCCCCGAGGCAGGTTTCACCACTGGAGAAATGATGAGATGATGTACTTTTCCTAGATCAGCTGGCAGCACTGCACAAAGTCTAAGTAGCACTCAATATATTATGGCACAATATATTATGGTATCATATGCTGGAAAGTAGAAATAAAATACCTGCAAAATCTGCTGCCAATAGGTCCACTGCCTTCAAAACTTTGACTTGTAAAAAGCCAATGTCCTTTATGTCTCGAAAGGAATTCTTTATACACTGCAAGGAGGAAAGCATAAAGATATATTTTGTTTGCAATTCAGTAAGAAGCAGAAAACACTGAACTACTAAGTGAACTACATTTTTATATTCATCGCTATTTCTGCGGTGTTTCGGTTC